GCTGACTTCAGGTCTGGTTTAGATCATCGTTACTTATAAATTATATATTGTTCTGATATAAACCTGCTGTTTTACATGATTGTTGAAAGAAATTAACAGTTATCATTTTATTGTAAAAACATGACAGATAATCTGTGAAACAGATCCAGTTCAGCTGCTGTTTATTAGTTTCTATGGAGGCTGTGAACTGTTGTCCTTTTGGACGCCATTTTTGCTCCTCCATGCTGTCACAGACACTACCAGTGGATGGTTTTGGYGGGGCGCAGTCTAGTGATCTTATTCAAGTCAATGTGCAAATGTGAATGCAAATTAGTGAACGCATAATGTTACAACAAATGACTACAGTGAATTTGTTGTATAAATAAGCATAGAATTTTTTGAAAAACATTTAATACATTTACAAAATGATTTAGATGATTTTATACATGTAGACTTTATTTTTAAATGTGCTACTGGGATTCGTTCTGCTTGTTGCAGGGATAGACGTTAAAATCCTTTTAATTTCCATCCTTTACTTCCTCAGTTATTTATGGTATAAATTTTAAAGGTTTTTGTTACGGTATATGTATGAATTGAAGATCCCTTTAAAGTAGACATCCTGCTTTTAAACCCTTCTTTGCCACTTTTAAATCATTCAGTCGGGGTCTGTATAAAGTGGAACTACAATGTTTTGGTCTGAATTCCTCCTTATTGTAACTCCACAAGCCCCTCTTTCACCCCTTTTCTGAGGTGTTGCTCAGATCAACTCGTTTTGATGCTGCCTCTTTAAATCCACACTTCGGTCCATTCTAGTTTGATAGAGTTTACGACTATATAACAGCGCAGAAACATTTTATTTACAAACTAATGAAAAGATGTCAACACTGGAAGACTTGTTCATCCAGCCTTACATGTTGGAGCCAGAAAACAAAACTGTAGTTGGTCCTAATGCTGAAGTCCAGACCTAATTTGGTAATTCAGTTGCAAACACTGTGATATAACAGTTCAGAAAACATCATAGAAAATATAGAAAACTGAAGGGGTTGAAAAATATCACCCAAACAGAATATAAAGATATCTTCTCAGCACTGGGAGAGATTAAATAAAACTTTTCTGCCTTTTTAGAGACTGCACAATAAAATGCATTGAACTAAAGAAGTGGATTTTATATGTCTCCTATAATGTGAGCCTTATACCTCTACAATGATAACAAAACTTCACTGCAATTTTCCTTTTTAAACAGTTAAACYCTGACATGTAACGCCGACATAAAAAGGTGCAGACCTGTTGTTTCCTATCAGACGACGGGTCAATGAGCACGTTGAGGAGACTGGGTCTCTCCCAGTCACTCAGGCTGAGCTGTAAGGCGCTGCGCAGCTCCTCCACRGTCCTCACCAGAAAACCTCGGCCTCCGAACGCTGCCATCACCTCATCGTAGCGAGCATCAGGCAGGAGGGACACAGGAGGGGCTCTGAAAGGTGACAGCTTATTGCATTCATGGAAACCACCATCACAGTGAAGACACTTAGAAAAATGAGACTCACATAGAAGTCAGATCTCCCATTTTTGCCATTTCTTTCCATGTTTCAGAATCTACTCCGCTGTAAATGCCGTTATTATTGACCACGATTATCACCACAGGTAGATTATACCTAATAAGAGGAAAAAATGATTAAAAACATCAAAAGTGTTTTTATTTTCGAGTTCCTATCTRAGTGGAACAAACCTGCACATGGTCTCAACCTCCATGCCAGAAAATCCAAAAGCGCTGTCTCCTTCCACGCAGACAACCCTCCTGCTTTTGTCCCTGCTCCTCTCCACRGCAGCAGCTGCTACAGCAAACCCAAGGCCAACTCCCATTGTTCCAAAAGTGCCYGCATCCAACCTGCACACCACATCTTAGTTAATACAAGTTAATACAGTATCCTGAAATGAAGCTCAAGTTCTTTTCTAGTCAAATGTCCAAAAAAAAGAACCTTTATACATATATTTTATAAGAATAAACCACTAGATTTCTTAAGTTTATATATATTTACCTAAACGATTGCTGTTTTTAAATGTAGGTGTAAAACTTCCACCTCGTTTTCCACTGATCAGTTCATCTGAAATAGTTTTAGTTTTTAAATCTCTCAACATATTTTTCTCGGACAAGCAGCTTTTTTATTTCTGCAGGATTATTACACATAATTTCCAAATCAGCTCATTTATGTAGTGCAGATTTACAACACGGCAAAAATGGGTCAAATTAGATTCAAACACGTGCTCTGACTAAAATAACATCATTGATGAACGTCTCCCACCCCGTGCATGAAGCTGTGGCAGCAGACTGCCAAGGTGCACAAAGGAGCATTATCGCAGATCCTTCCTCCCAGCAGCTGTCAGACTCTATAACCAGCACCACACTCAAAAATCACATTAAGTGTTAACACACCCTGCTGCTGCCCGCACAATCATTTTGCACTACTACTCATTTAAATTACTAATTGAGCAATCATCTGCTTTGTTATTACCCATTTTAAACTTTAAAATAACATTTCTGCTAATTGCACACCTGTGTTTCTTGCCTGCACTGTCATACTTTACAGTTAACAGTCTGTTGCGAATGTTTTGCGCTAAAAATAGGTCTGTTCTAATTTCTAATGTCAAAATCTGATAGGTACAGTAACTACAGTCTCTAAAACAAAACATGTCTTTTATATTATATTTTATTATTAGTAGTAGTATCATTG